TTGAAGGCCGCACAGTGACCTATATTTGTTAACTTCTATGTCATTTGGTCTCTGGTGGAGAGTTGTCTCATTGGCAATCATAACACATCTTCTTACTTTTTTTTGTATTTAAAAAAATATTTTTAAACCATTTTACAGGCCAATAGAAAACAGACCCATAACCTGGGAGGATTCTAGGAGTTCAGAAAAAAAACAACTCTTGAAGCAAAACATACTTAAATTAAGACCATTTAATTCAAGTTTCCGATAGGAGTCAGATTTTTGCCTTATGACAGGCTACCTAAAATACTTAACAAAGAATTGTTGCAAACATAATTTTCAAACAATATCATGAGACACATTAACCACATATCCATTTTCTCCAAATTATAAATGCAAATTTTGTAGATATCTTAAGAAGATCTTCAAGGCCACTAAAATTAAGTGTACTGTTGTACAGTTCCTAAATCATGTATTTCAGTTAACGCCCTTAATGAGGTCAAAGACTTTTGAAACCATTATTCACAACTATTTACATTAAAGTTTTTATGGATCTAGAAACAGAGAAATCTACTCAGAAAGTGTAAAAACATTCATTATACTGATGTATTTAAATATTCAAATGATAAAAATATGTTTAATGCAAACTATTGCTTTAAATAACCAGGAAGCTATTTCAATTCTGCAGAAGTAGTTACAACACATTAATGTACTTTTAACATTTCTTCAAGGTGAAAAAGATTTGTATTAAATAAAATCGTAAAGAAATATTTGTGGTAAACCACAGTTCAAATAATATTTAATAAACTAAAACAAAAACCATTTGCAACATTTGAGATATAAAGCTATAATTTGTAAATCCAATACATCAAACATGTACTTGGTAGCAATCTGTAAGATAAAAATTTAATCAAAGGCATTGAAAAAACAGAGAATGCTATTTTTGGTTTGTTTTGATATCTGATCACGGTATCCACCCTTTTTTCTTAATTCCTAAGTTCAATATTGACGTCAAACAACTAACATTACATGCACCTTTAGTTCCAAATATTACTTTAATGACATCATGAAGAATGCTACGTAAAAATATTTCGTATTTGTTGGCTTCAATCCAGTCTTCATCACACAACAACCACAAAAAGAATAAAGCTATTATCATCTGTCATAATCAGTGTGAAACTGTCACCTCATAAAAACCCCTCCTCCCTCTCAATCATAATCAAAAATCAAATTTATTCTATTCATTTTCAGTTAAACAAAAAAGCTTTTAATTTGTAAATTGAGGGGCTAATGACTTTTGGAAAAAAAATCCTTTGTTACAGTTAGCCAGTTATTTTATGCATAATCCTGCTCACCAAGCTACAAATTTAACAAAAAATGTTAAAAAATAAATTTATTTGATCAGCAAATTTCAGTTTAAAAAATACTTATTTCAGATACTGATAAAATGAATTTGTGTATTTTCAGAAAAGATAACTAGTAACATCACTTTTCTTTTAATATGTTTTCAATACTTTTTTCTGTTTTCACTCACAAGAAAAAAATTTTGGAAGACAACTTAAAAAAGTTTAAGCATAAAGTTTTGGTTTCTTATAATTGAATAAAAGAAGATGTTTGGTATACATCAATAATACATCATTTCAATGACACAAATAAAACCAGATTTAATAGGTATCTTGCTTTTTTACGCAAATAAAACCAGATTTAATAGGTATCTTGCTTTTTTACGCAAATAAAACCAGATTTAATAGGTATCTTGCTTTTTTACATAAATAAATTTCTAAAAGTAGAGGAGACACAGTACCAATCAACTTCTGTATAACTTCCAATACAACATGAATATAACTTTTACAAATAGAGGAGCCTCATCCTCAGTTTACCTTCAATACCTGTAGGTTAGATACACTTTTTTTTATTTTAAAGATTTTAGCATTATCTTGTAATTAATGGCACACCACCAATTTAACAAAAGGTTAACATTTTTCTACCTTCCTACTCACACATCCTACTCTGCACTCTGTGATAGTGTGTAACATGGCCCTGAGAGAATAAAACCATGTGCAGCAGCATAGAATTTCACACATCATATCTTATTTTCAACCATGCAAAAAATTGACAGTTATATTTTATTATTTGACTATGTGAACATTACACCTCCCTAATCTGTTTCTGTTTTCTTTCTATTCTTTTGAAAATAATTGAGATACCATCTAAAGAAATGCATTAATTTATTGTATAAAGTTTTTATAGTACAAATCAATTTATTACTCTATGGAGCAAAACCTTGGCATTTGTCAAATAATCTGTGTCTTCATGTATATAAATTAAACAGTTATACAAATATGAAAGCTGATAACAGCGAAACTGAAAGTAGAGCATGAAAAATGCCATGTAATCCTTATCTTGAAGTCTGTAAATTTCAAAAGCTACTCATAATTTCTTTTTGAAGGTGGACAAGATATATAGTAGTATATGCTTATAGTAAGATAGTATCTACAACAAAGTTCAACTTGTAATCTGTTTTTGTTCTGTCGGGGAGTTACAACTTGATCGTGACTTAAATTTGTTTACTGTAATATTATTTTTATATTCAATCTGCTTTTGAGGTACTGATTTTTCATTCTAAGTCCTCTGTCTGGAAAATAACTGTTACTGAAAAACTTCAATAGCACACAGAATGTGCGGGTGTTTTTTTCTTTTCTTTGTGATAACATTAGATATAATATTATTTTAATTTGTAAAAACTAAGTAAACGGATACTGTTAAATCCACACAATAGAGACACAAATAAAACCAGTTGTAGGGATTTAAGCAATTTAAGACATTAACCCAACAACACATTAAAACCAGGAAAAAAACATACAATTTCCTAGTATACCATAAATTAGTTCTTTTATTTAAAATTTATGAACTGCTTTTTGAAAATAAATAAAAGATTCTCATTAATACTTGTCACACTGAAGCCCCTTTTATGTTTTGTACAACTAGTAACATGTTATTCACATCAATCAATTATAACCACTTTCCTGCTTACCCTCTGTTATACATTAGGTAAAAAGACCAGAATTTCTATAAAAGACTATTTACATGCTCATCTAAATTTGATTCCAAATTGACTATATCCTTCGTGATGGTGAATTTTTGCAGTCTCACGATTATCAATTTAAATGGAAATACTTTTAAATTTAAAATCAGAACTGTTTCAGTAAACTAAATATCATATCCATTGTGATATATTTCAAACTTTAGTTTTTAGCATAAATAGTTTTAACTTTGTTTCATATTGAGTTATATATGATGATATCCATTTCATATTATGACTATTTAATATACAATATTTATTATATACACAGCAGTTACAGCATAGCATCATACCGCACATGCTGTTTATTGTAAATTTAACTTTTCATTTATTACGGAATCAAAAGTTTTACCTTTGATTTTTCTGACATAACATAAAGAGAGTTCTTGCGCTAATGTTGTTAATTATTTTGTCAGGTACACACCAGATTGCATGAAGTCAGTCACACCCTGATATAGTTAGATCATTTGTCATATTAGAATCTTTCAAAGCTTTTACTAAACTCATAAAACATCAACAGAAAAGTAAATCAACTTGCTAAGAGACTATCTCCTCTCATATTCTCTACAGGGGAGATGGAAAAGGTTCTTTGACCTAACAAATGTAGAAAAAAAGATAATATAAGAGAGAACAGTTTATGGTGCAAGAATAAAAAAATGCAAAAGGCGTGAAAAACAATCAAATTTGAAATGAAGATTACAGTGACATGAACAATTAATGATGGGAGGAACCCTGGATTGAAAACAAAAAAGTTGGGGATTAGGAATGACAAGAAAAGATACAGCCTAAAAAAAGTAGGGGCAACACAGGAAATAGAATAGGAAATAAGGACTGCCCATCATTATTCATTTCTAACAAGATTTTCAATGATGTATGTTTAATTTGAGGTTACCGAGCAGCATGTTTCACATTTTGATTGTTATATCCAACAGTTTGTTATGAGAATAAATAGCAGGCTATAGTAATTTCCATTTGTTCTAAAGTCTAAAATCCATTTTAAAAAAAAACAAACCAAGAGAAAAAAAATGCCAGATAATTGCAAACACAAACATATCAAGACAGGGTGCCTTGCATGCATCACCCACTAACCCAAGACTCAGAGTGCATTTGTTTCTAACCTAAACGATGTAAACGATTACGCGTGTAGAGTTTAATCCATTTGTTTCTTACATTTTTTGGTCAACGTTGACATTGTTCAAATAAACGATGTACGCTCAAAATAGTCGCGTATATATATAGTCGTTGATCTTTTATTGTTGAGACGTATAAACGATACATTTGTTTCTGCATCTGTCGTTTAAATAGTTATGAGCATGTGTTGTTTTCGCAAACTCCTGGTCATTCATTTCCCTCACTTTTTGTTTACAGTGCGTGTATGTAATCTATTTCTGTCTCACTACGCGGGGCCGATAAAGGTCATTAAACAATGTATTTGTTTCTAGCAGCTAAATGTTTACTAAACGATAGTCATCATGACAAAATTTCGGGTTAGAAACAAATGCACTCTCAAGCTGATGGAAACTGTAAAACTTATATATACTTTCAGTTTCAGCCACTTTGCTGAAGGTTTATGATCAACATTCTATATCGAGCATAGAGTGTCAGAACAAATATCATGTTATAACAACAACATATATAGATAACAAAGACAAACAAAGACCATATAGACCCCATACAAAGGTATTTAATGGTACTGTTTGAACAATATTTCCTTATTTCAGTAAAATATGTTCACACTTGTGTTTAGGTTAAGATATAGGTGAAAGAAAACATTCCAATTTTCTTGATATAAATAAGGAAAATAATGGTATTTTGGATATGTAAACAGTAAACAAAAGATGTTGTAGACATGAAAAAAATTTGAAGGAAAGCATATAACCATATAAGGTGTTAACAAGGACATAACTTTTCATGCCTTCATCTTTTTTTTTATACCTACCTGCAGAAAATGATGCATTAAATCCAGACATTTGATTGTCCTGGTCTGATTGAAATATGACTAGATAAAAATTTGATGATGAATATGGCACACTTGGTTTGTCAGTTCCAGAATAAGTCCCGACCAGCGGATCCTTCTCGGAGCTGCCATCATGAATTATGACTTTATCATACAATGTTTCTACTGTAAATGATTCAAACTGAAACAGAACAAAGCACACCATTTGATATAATTCTTCTTTTTACTTTCTAGAAATACAGTATGATTTATTTAGACTTAAAATGTAACAAAAAATGCATTAAAATAATCACTTTGCAGTTTAATATTAGTGTGTGTTTGTTTCAAACTTGAATTTTGAAATGTGTGTATGTACTCGTTGAATCTTTTGGTCTGAAGTATATTAGTGTCAATCTACAAACGATGAACTCAAAATGCTATTTCCTAGACATTGATCGTTTAATGGTTATAGACTTGTGAAAATGCATTTGTCTCTATTTCTGTTGTTTAATGTTTTGTACTGCTAGATAATTTAAAGATGAATTTGTTTCTGAAAGAGGTAATTTCTCTAAACAACAGTAAACACATCCAGAAAGAATTTTAAAAAGCTGTTTACATGCAGTAACTTTAAAAGGTCTTATGTTGTACCATGTTCCACATTGGGAGATACGCTTAATTTTAGATTGGCACCATGATCCTGAATTTTGAATATAACAAATCTGCTCTGTGAATATGTTTACAAGAAAAAGATCATTACATCTCCATGGTATTAATCATAGGGTTGGTTTACGTTCTGCTTTGGTGGCCATCTTTCATTTCAAATTGTTTTAAAAAAAATAGTCACAAGTTTAACTCTGGACAATATAAGAATCTTTCATAATATAATAAGTAAACACATTACATTATAGTAATTGCACAATATGGATAAAATATTGTAAATGTTCTAAGAAGCTTTTTCATATGGTATTCCCAAAAGTTTTTGTAAAATGTTTTAGTTTACCTTTGGTAGCCATACTAGACTTCTGACTAATATATTATAAGTTTGAAAGAGGAACCTATAATTCATACAATTAACAACTAAAACTGCTGAGTTCCTGATGTCCATTAACCAACAATTCAATCAATTTTGAAAGAGATAGAAAGATGGAAATAAAGTACTACTAGAACCTTAACATGCCAAATAACAGGTATAAGTTTCAAACTGACATACCTAGTGAGGAAAAATTTTACAGACATAAAATTGATCTAAAAATTAGCTTTAGAAGTTGCCTTAAAATGAATTATTCTAATCTAAATTATGCATAAAACTCTACCAAGAATTTAAATCAATAACAATATTTTTCAACTAGATTATGTTTTATGCAGTAAGAATAATTCCATCTCCCACTGAACCAATTTTGAGGACTGAGTTGCACATAGAGTTGCTCTACATTGCTATGTTTATACTGTAAGATTCCTGCACATAATCATTAAACATGACAATACTATGATGAACCACACACAATCATACAGGCAATAACAAGAGGCTTCTTTCTGTATAGTACTTGTACTTATAAGCCTCTCGACAGGCAAACATCAAGATATCTTGTGTTTTTGATCTTCTGAAGTAGTCAGTTTACTACTATGTGTCTTAAGATCTCTGGAAAGTTGTTTTTCATTAATTTTGTTTACTAAATGTCCATCTTCCATTCTCATTTTCGTATCTGCAATTGAACTTTAGTTTGCCTCATGAAAGTTTTATGAAACTCATACACAATGCTAAGAACCACAACACACAGAGTTCAAATTTGGATTGTGAGTCATTAACCATTCTAGAGTTATGCCCCTTTTTAACTTGGAAAATTGCAAAGCTTGAGCCGGGGCATTCGTGTCCTCAGACACATTCTTCTTTTATCTATTTGAGGTTCACTGGTATTTTCATCATAACAAAAGGAAAACAATGAAATAGAAACAAAATTGTCTGTGAGTCTGATAAGGCAAGCCCTATTCATTATTTTCATTTTAGCAAATCATTTGGAAATAGTTCTTCAATGTCCCTTGTAAAATGATGCAGAAATCAATCAAAATCAAGTGTCAATGAAGATCTGATAGAAAAATAACTTTATCCCTGACCAAAATAGTCCAGCTAGATACATTTTCACACAAAGTCATCAGTCACTGTCATTTTCTAAGCAAATATAGAATTCAAAGTATCACTGTTCAAATGGTAAGAAATCTAAAACTTGTGTTACCCTTTCAGTGTTTCTACATACAAATAAAATCCAGCAGCTCATTTTCAAAATACATAATGGCTATAAACTATAATTATTGTTTCATTTCAAACTTTTAAGGACACAATTTTTTTCCTTAAGAAATGCTTTGTAATAAAGAGATTTTATCCCAGTATCTACTCACCTTTAAATAAACTCTAGTTCCTACAGGAGTTTCTAGCCTCCATATACATGATGAATGTTTAGGATATGTTTGAGGATAATGAGGTGAATGGAATGTCTGTAATATTCCCTGAAGATGACCCCCACAGCTACCTGAAAATAAATCAAAAGTTTAAAAGAAATAGTAAAATTCTAAAAAATACAATTTCCTGAAATTTTCTAGTCACATAAATCTGTAATTCTTTAAAAATTAGGTCTGCAATCAAATCCAATTTCAACCCATTACTTTCCAAGATACATATATTTAAAAGCACAACAAAGAGAAGACTCTACAACTATTTTTTTCTCTTCAAAATGACCAAATGGGTTAAACAATATTCACTGTCAAGGACATAAAAATGTACTATCGGGGTACTTTTGCAAACTGTAGTTGCTCCAGTTCACACCATTGATAGTTACAAAAAAAGTGTAATTATCAGACGAAAAAAATCATTTTCTATGACTTGTAAATGTGTACTTTCATGTTACACTAGTACTACAAAAACCTCTACAAGTAAGTAGTTGTATTAGACTGTAACTATCAATAATAACCTATTCCTATTAACATTATATACGATGATTGAAGGGTAACATTTCATCACAAAATATAATTTGGACAAGAATATGTGTATATTAAACTTGAAACAATAAAATGTAGGTATACAAGTTCTGATTAGCAATTTTTTATTTACATCCTTCATCGATAAAATCAAAAGCACAATCCTGAATATAAATATGACTAGAATCATAATGTTCATCTCTAATATATAAAAAAATATTATGGATAAGGATGATGTACGATGGCATAGTTTTTGCAGTATTTTTTGTGAAGAAAGAGTGGATTGTTGCTTTTGAAATTTTAAGACTTTTAAAAATATTCCCTAAGAGGTTTTTGGTAAATGTAAATCTTATTCTACTATATTAGGGTTGTTATCAGCATGCAAAATTAAGTGAAATCCATACAAATCTTTTATTTTGGCCAAACAGTTTTTTATCCATTTTCCTTTAGTAATGGTTACATCAAGTTTTATTCTATTTTGAATCATCAAGCATGATTCTTAAAGGGTTACATAATGTTTTATTCTATTTTGAATCATCAAGCATGATTCTAAAAGGGTTACATAATGTTTTATTCTATTTTGAATCATCAAGCATGATTCTAAAAGGGGAGCATAAATGTTTCATTTAGGTTTAGAAGTAACTGGTCCTTCAAAGTATTTTTTTTATTGGTTCAAAGTTTTCTGTTATTAGTAGGTCAGGAGCAATGATGATTTGGGTTATGTAATGACAGAAGTGATGATTAATGGTGGTTTGGGTTAAATGCCATAACAAATTAAGAAGAATATATTTGTATCATTTTCCCAAAGATGAGAGCTATATATCCAAGTAAGGAATCTTAATTTGTCAGTAACTGTTGTATATCAATTCTTTTATATGTTTTTTCATTATTTGGACAATTGGGTGTCAATGGCAGATCATTGAAATGGTGTTAAAAGCTTGACATATTGTACAGTCACCTGGATGATTAAGAGCTTGACATATTGTACAGTCACCTGGATGATTAAGAGCTTGACATATTGTATAGTCATCTAGAATATTAAGAGCTTGACATATTGTATAGTCCCCTGGATGATCAAAAGCTTGACATATTGTATAGTCACCTAGATTATTAAAAACTTGACATATTGTATAGTCACCTGAACAATTAAAAGCTTGACATATTGTATAGTCACCTGGATGATTAAAAACTTGACATATTGTATAGTCACCTAGAATATTAAGAGCTTGACATATTGTATAGTCCCCTGGATGATCAAAAGCTTGACATATTGTATAGTCACCTGGATGATTAAAAACTTGACATATTGTATAGTCACCTGGATGATTAAAGCTTGACATATTGTATAGTCACCTGAACAATTAAAAGCTTGACATATTGTATAGTCACCTGGATGATAAAAAAACTTGACATATTGTATAGTCACCTGAACAATTAAAAGCTTGACGTATTGTATAGTCACCTGAATGATCAAAAACAACACATATTGTATAGTCACCTAGATTATTAAAAGCTTGATATACTGTATAGTCAGTCACCTGGATGATTAAAGCTTGACATATTGTATAGTCACTTGAACAAATTAAAAGCTTGACATATTGTATAGTCACCTGGATGATTAAGAGCTTGACATATTGTATAGTCACCTGGATGATTTAAGCATGACATATTGTATAGTCACCTGGATGATTTAAGCATGACATATTGTATAGTCACCTGGATGATTAAAAGCTTGACATATGGTATAATCACCTGGATTTTAAAAAGCTTGACAAATTGTAAAGATACTTGTCTATTATTGGAGACTGTTTGTTGCCCTCTGGATTGCTATTTTGTTGTTAGTCTCATTGATGTATACCACACATCTTCCGTTATTCATATGGATATATCGATTTTCAATTTTAATTTTTATTGATTTTAACCCCTATGTACTAGTTATAAGTAAATGCAGCCATTTTGGTTGATTGTCAAGAACACAACATAAAATTTGGAAGATTCTTGTTAATATAATGGTTCCCACTTGCCTACAGTGTTTACAAAGCCTGACATTGGATGCAAAGTGAGGAGTTAGGATTATGCTGGTCATTTTGATCATGTAGACTAAAAACTACTATAACATAAAACATTTCCAAAAGTTCGTACAGGTATAAATGGTTTTCCTTAAAATACCACCGAATAACATTTTTACAGCTCTTTAATATTTTATACATTATATCAATAACATTTCCTGGAAGCATTTTTGCCATTTTTTGTTTGTTATAAGTGTCAAACATTACATTTATTACTTTTGTAAGATTTTTAAATGTTTTTCTTTTGACACTTATTGTGATCTGTATTATTATATCAGGCAGAGTTTCATCAAATACACTTCTTATAGGACTGATATTTGTAGAAAGTTAAATAAAATTGTAAGATTGAGTATGTGCATACATGTTTTAACCTTTTGTCTATACAACTGTGAAATCAAGTCTTTAAATTATTGATTTCAACTGCAATCAAGATACATCCTCATTATAGAAACCAAGTATTACTTTCATATTCTAACAAATAGGAAGGTCATAAGATTGAATTTTTTTTGTGGAGAGTAAACTAATAACCTTGTTACTATTATACAGTCAATGAAATTTGTTGACAAGGTCCAAAAAAAGTTAAAAGCATGATTTTAGGATCAAGGAAGTAAATTGACCCTATACAATTCAATACTTAAAACTATCCAATTGGCTACCAAAATATCTAATAACAGAATAGACACAAAGTATGATCTCAAGGAAGAATTTTGTCCAATAATCATTTCTTAGTCTGATATTTGTAATAGATGTATTTGAATAAAAAGTCCATGACTGTGCTCTTTTCATACAGGTCATTACATTTTTTTGTATTTATAAATATTTTTCCAGAAAGAAGAATCTATATTAAGTAATATTGATTCATTCTTGGTTGTTAAACATACAGTGCAATGCAGGATTTATTTCCTACAACTGTCAAATTGAAGGGAATTATTTTTTTTACCCTTTTTAACATGAAATCATACATTATGTACTCAGTGTTTTGGTGGTACAACACCTGTTGATATTTTAAAATTCAAGAGAGAAAACACAGCACTGGAGTCAACAATTGATAAGTTAACCCTGATGTTTGAATCTCAGTTATAGGCTGAATCTTTATGGTTAAATTTGAGTGCTGAGTAAACATGAACATATCTAAAGAATGAGGAAATGTTTACAAGGAAACCTGTAACCTAGTAACAAGACAAGGTGTTAGACTATGACTGATACTTACAATCTAGTATGTCGATAAACTGATCAACACTATGTCAACTTAATACATTGCACTATAATGTATCACTATCCCTTTTCTAATTGGATAATGATAAATAAAAGAATATTCAACTCTTTCTATATTTCTACACAGAAATTGCCTTTTTTATACCAATTTTCTTAAGAAATGCTTCTAGAAAATCTAAACCCTTTCTTTTGCCTACTACAGTTTGAATGTGACATTATTCAACTACATGCAGTATAATTTGTGAAATTTGACAGATGACTGAGATTTTAGTTTAAAAAAAGATTAATTTCAGGAATGTTAAGTCATGATAAAATAAGTAGAGGGTATGATTAGCAATGAGACCCTAAGGACCAAAGGACAAAGATGTGGTATGATTGGCAATGAGACCCTAAGGACCAAAGGACACAGATGTGGTATGATTGGCAATGAGACCCTAAGGACCAAAGGACAAAGATGTGGTATGATTGGCAATGAGACCCTAAGGACCAAAGGACAAAGATGTGGTATGATTGGCAATGAGACCCTAGGGACCAAAGGACAAAGATGTGGTATGATTGGCAATGAGACCCTAAGGACCAAATGACAAAGATGTGGTATGATTGGCAATGAGACCCTAAGGACCAAAGGACAAAGATGTGGTATGATTGGCAATGAGACCCTAAGGACAAAAGGACAACGATGTGGTATGATTGGCAATGAGACCCTAAGGACCAAAGGACAAATATGTGGTATGATTGGCAATGAGACCCTAAGGACCAAAGGACAAAGATGTAAACAATCACAGGAAGTCTAGATTAACATATGAATAAGTGTGATATAAGAAAAATCACTGTGTACATGCAAATTTACCAAAAGGGCGTTGCTCTTATTCTGAGCAAGCTTAATAGGTCAAACAGTGAGGATTTCAAGTAATTGTACCAATTTACTAAAATGACTATCATTCCTTTGAAAATTTATAACAAAAATAGCAGTCTTTTTGTTGTAGACTATTTACTATGGCTATTAAAATCAGGACTGCAGGAAAATCATAATGGTTTTGCCATTTTCACCAGATGCCAATTTATTTATTTCTATGACAAGCAAAAGTAATGTGCTGGGAATTTACATATTTAGCTTTTTAGCAAGAAACCAAGTCTTGTAACCCAAATTGGAATTTTTCATTCATTAAAGAACAAGAATTATCCTCTCAGATTTTTTCTTAAAATTTTATCTTCTAGTTTTCTTTCTTAACTCACAGAATTGATTTATCCACGTATAATCTATACAAACT